AGGAAGGAAGGAAGGAAGGAAGGAAGGAAGGAAGGAAGGAAGGAAGGGTTATCCATTTAGTCATGTCCAACTTTTAGTGATTCTATGGGCCAGGTTTCTCCACTTCTTCTAATCTAACATTACAACTCTTTGAGTTGGTCTATGGTGTTAGGGTTAGGGTTGGTGTTAGCTTTGATGGTATCCATCCAGTGTGTTCTTTGGCAGCCTGGTTTCCTTTACTTCCAAGCATAGTTGCTTTGTCCAGTGAATTTCCCTGAATGACATGGTCAAAGTAATTGAGACATTGTTTGGTGGTTTTGCCTTCCAGTGACACGTCTGATGTTACATGCTCCAATACCTGCTTGTTAGTCAACTTTGCAGTCAAAAGAGAAAGAAAGAAACACTGCCCCAAATCCAAATAATTCCCTTTTGCTCTGGTGCTTGTTCTTTCTTTTTCTATTTGCAATGTAAAACCCAGTCCCGGCCTGGCCAGGAGCATGGCACAAAGAGACTTTTTGGCTTGGTGCAGCTTTGGAGTAGCCCTTTATCAGCAGGAGGAGCAAAAAGAATGTGAAGTTCAGCTGGGGTGGCAAAGCAAGGCGTGGCAGGGAGTTTGGTCCAGTGGTTAAGGCACCAGGCTAGAAAGCAAGAGACCATGAGTTCATGTTCCATTTTAGGCATAAAATCCAGCTGAGTATTCTTGGGCCAGTTACTCTCTCTCAGCCCAACCCACCTCAAAGGGTTCTTGTTGTTGTGAGAAAAATAGGAGGAGGAAGGTATGTTGGATTATGTTACCAAACTTGAATTATTTGTAAACATAATAAAGGATACAAATTAAATAAATGAATAACAATAAGATTGTCAGGTGGAGGGAATTATGTCCCTGTGGCCATGTGGGCAGGCAGCCAAGCATCTAAATTTTGATTAGTGAGGTCACTGCAACAAACCTATCTTTGGGCATGGGACACAAGTCCCTTTGTTCAGCACCGTGGTAACTTTGAACAGCCACAGAATAAACGGTGATAAATTGAAGACTATATGCCGGGGATGGAAAGGGACAATTACATCCTGATTTTGACATGAGAGGGGACAATGGAAGATGCTATGTGGCAGGATATCAAGGGGAAAAAATGCAGGCCAAAACTAGAATGAAAAATCAAATCAACTCTTATTTTTTTGTACAGGGCATTTACAATTGGTGAAGTAAACTAATTTCTATTTAGTTCTTCATTGATCAGCCATAATCTAATCACACTGGGCATGGCTTAATGACTAATCAGGTGGGCCAAGGGATGAGAGTGGAGTTGTTCAAATTATTCCATTCATTTTGAGAAATCAACTCTCTAATTAAATTATACACCTGAAATAGAGCACTATGGTCACAAAAATATACAATATATATTGTATATCTCTGAAAGGAAAATGATTTTAATTTAGAACAATTTTTCTACAAAATGAAAAACTGAACTAAAAAAACCTCTGCCGCCTTCTCTTATTCATGAATCTGATCCATCTTTCCCATTTTATAGCTAAATTACATAGGAGTAAAACCTACTCTTTCATACTCTTTCTCATTTTATAGCTAAATTACATAGGAGTAAAACCTACTCTTTCATACTAATAAATATAGTATCTACATTCAGAAGCAATCAGGAACAAACACAACTTCTACTGAGTTATTTCTGTAGCTATAGTAAATTTTTCCAAATGTTAAGTCTAGTCAACTTTTCAAGTGAAACAACAAACTATTGAGTCAAGTGAGTCAACTCTTGAAATAGGAATATCTTTTCTTCACATTTTATTCTTGAAAGGATGTGGGTTAGCAGTTATTTTCTTTCTGCACCAGTCCACATTTTGGGTTTATTAATGGAAATTATTAACAGGTAGGCAGGTAAACAAGCAGTGGTGGGATTCAATTTTTTTTACTACCGGTTCTGTGGGTGTGGCTTGGTGGTCATGATGTGGCTTGGTGGGTGTGGCTTGGTGGGCATGGCGGGGAAGGATACTGTAAAATCTTCATTCCCTCTCCACTCCAGAAGGATACTACAAAATCCCCATTCCCTCCCCCTCCCGGGGATGGTTACTGCAAAATCCCATTCCCTCTCCATCCCATTAACCTTCTTTCCAGCTCCGTTTTCTTGTACAGGGCAACAAAAGAAGACCCAGCCAATCAGCTAGGACTGGGAGGCAGAGAATAGATGGGGGCGGAGCCAGTCAGAGGTGGTATTTGCCGGTTCTCCAAGCTATTCAAAATTACCACTACCGGTTCTCCAGAACTGGTCAGAACCTGCTGAATACCACCTCTGTAAGCAAGTAGAAAGTTAGGCAGATGAGAGGGAGAGAGAAAAATAGATGGTTTGTTACTATATATGGTTAATGCTTCCATATTCATGGACTAACCATGGACTAATTTCCATATAGTTTCATTAAGAATATCAGTTCATAAGATCAAATTAGTACTGTTTTCGGATCAACATTTCAAATCAAATGATGATTGAAATCAGTTTGTAGTCATTTTGTATATAAAACATGTGAAATAGTCACATGTCCGGCTGGAAATAGCTAGCTACGGTATGATAAAAAGAGAAATGTCTTTATAATCTAGATTGCTGCCAATTGTTTTAGAGCAATTTCCATCGTCCTTGACCAGGCTGTGAAACATGCAGCATCTGGAATGCCTCATGCTGCCTTCCCCTAATTTGCATACCGACTGTCAAAAAAGGTAAGTTCATTGTCATCATTATTAGACATCATGTTCCCCTCTGCTTTGATTTTCTGATACAGCCAACATGGAGTATGAATTCCATCAAATTAGCCCCATTTTGTAAGTTGAGGATATCTCCAGTGACATGTGAATAAAGATATCATTTGAGGATGCCTGGCTCTATTCAAGTCAATGGCAAAGCTCCCAGTAGTTTCCAAGGACCAGCTTGGCATCTTTATTCAAAGCCATTCATTTATGTCTCTAAACATTTAGAAAAGTGCATTTTAATTCACAAACTTTGTACCACCGGTCAATTCCATGGAACTCTGCTCACTTTTGTTTTCTCTTTAGAAAAATATTTCTGCCCCTGGTTTATCTTCAATTAAATGCTAATTTTATTGTAGTAAGGTTCCATTGCCACATGGGGGTCATTCTGAATATTTCTGCCTGGTTACCCTAGATTAGTGGTTCCCAAAGTGGGTGGTACCGCTCCCTGGGGAGTGGTGGGTTGCCTTAGGGAGGTGCTAAGAGGCAAGGGGGCTGGCAAGAGGTGGCAGAGGGGGCATTCGAGGCGTCGGCCCTGCAGGCTCACTGACTGCTGGCCATGCAGCCCATTGACTGTTTCATCGCTCCATAACCGGCGCCTCGAATGTGGAACCCGCGCACGATGAGCCTTGCCAAGCCTGGGTGGGAGAGAGGTGGGAGGTGGCAGAAAGAGGGTGCAGGCTGCCCTCGCCGGTGGAAGCAGTGGAGGCGCACTAGAAGACCCAAAGCAAAATCCTCCCAAGGTGCGCAGTGGAAGGGGTGGATGGTCCGGCATTAGGGGCCCCTTCCCTGGAGGAGAACAAGGGAGAGCACAGCGCCCAGCCGGCCTCCGCCTTTCCAGCCAGCCAGGCTTGCATGCAGGATGTGGGTGGGTGCAGCTGTAGCTCTCCAAGGCATGTGCCTCAGTTCGGTTCAGCTCTACGTGGCTGTCCCAGACCTAGAACCTAGCCTCCCTCTGCAGCCCAGTTCTTCTGACTGAGCCATGCGCTTGCTCGCTTGCTTACTTTCCAAGCAATCATTCCCTCTGCCTCCACCAGTCTGGGCTGCTTCTGCATGCCTTCCTCCTCCTGGGCAGAGCATAAATATGGGCAGAATGATTCACTGAAGTTGGGAGTCTTTGAGCGTGTGCAGAGTACCTACCCTTGCTTGGCCTGATGGAAGTGGACCTTCGGTTGAAGCAAAAAGGGTGAGGTCAGCTGCATCGCTGCCCTGGGGAGGTTGGAACTGCAAAATTGGATGCCAAAGGGGCTGGAGAAGGGGCAGGGGGGCAGCTGCATTAAGGAGCAGGAAGATCTGAGCCATGGTTTATTCATTGACTAAGCCGGAATCAAACAGCATGCTAAACTCTAAACCAGAATGGCTATGTTGATATATTCAGCCTCTCAACCTTGGCAACTTGTGTGGACTTCAATTCCCACTCTGGCTTTATTCTACTTTCTCAAAGTGCCACCACTGTCACATTCTTTCTTTCTGTCTGTCTGTCCATCCTTCCGTCCCTCCATCCATCCATCCATCCATCCATCCATCCATCCATACATCCATACATAAATACATCCAAAAGTTCTGCCTGCCTGTCTGCCTGCCTATCTGCCTGCCTGTCTTCTGTCTACCTACCTATCTACCTATCTACCAATATAGATCAACTGGTCTGTCTATCTATCTATCTATCTATCTATCTATCTATCTATCTATCTATCATCTATCTATCTATCTATCTATCTATCTATCTATCTATCTATCTATCTATCCATACATCCATCCAAAATGTCTGTCTGCCTTCCTGCCTACCTACCTACCTGCCTGCCTACCTGTCTTTCTGTCTACCTACCTATCTACCAATATAGATCTATCTATCTACCTATCTACTTATCTACCAATCTACTTAGCTGCGTACGTACGTACCTACCTATCCATACATTCATCCAAAAGGTCTGCCTGTCTACCTGCCTGCCTACTTATGTATCTATCTACCAATCTATCTACCTACCTACCTACCTGTCTCTCTCTGTTTTTCTCTCTCTCTATCCTTCCATCCATCCATGTTCAAAGCGCCAGCCCCAGAGGCACATTGGGAAAGTAGAGCAAAGCCAGTCTGGGAGGGAGGGAGGGGGAGAGAGAGAGAGAGAGAGAGAGAGACCCGATGCATCAGATTGAAATGAGGCCTAGTTTAGATTTGCCAGCACATTGAAACATCTTTGGCTTCTATTAAAGGTTTTGTGGACAAAACATGGTCAAGACTATCAGGAAGCTCTCACATTTTGTTGGGGCTTTAAACAGGATCCATTGGACCAGATCTCCAGCCTAAAAATTACTTTTCCCCAATGTATTACAGTACCAATTCTGAAGAAGCCAAAACCAAAATGTACTGATAAATTACAAGGAGAACACACACACACACACACACACACACACACACACACACACACACCCTTCTAAACCTGCTGGAGCAGGTGATTGGACTAGAATAGATATCTCATTATCTTTCTCCTC